TCATTCTCCGACAGAACTTTGGCTTTTTTTTGGTGAATAACCTTCGTTTTTGCGCCTCAGAAAACATGAACAGTTTACCAAATCTATGAACAAATATAATTTAGATGAGTATGATTAAATATCGAAGAATATAATGGCTTTTACCTTGATATGTCGATGTTTTCATATACTCAACGCAAGCTTCAGCATGGATATCTTTGTCCACAGTGATGTAGGAGAATACATTTCAGACATTCTTTTAGCATAAGCCAGCAATACCGCTTCATTTACGCTGTTTATACTCTATCCTGCCGCCACTTCAAAAAATTGTCATATTCCTGCTGATATCTCTCTCTGGTTATAGTCGGAAGTAAATTTTGAGTAGCCGCAGCCGCTTTCCTCCTGTATTTCCAACGGAATTTCGCGACATCTCGCTATGGTCTATTTTCCCAATTTTTGAAAAGTCCAACTGACAATAAATAGTCATTGTTGCAGGTGACAGACGTTACGATTACCTTAGAAACTTAACGGCCGCCGGCCGTTATGATAACGTCCGGCGGACGTTATATGCATCTTTTCCATTCTGATTTTGCTTATGTTATAATAATATAACAATATAGTATGACGAAAATATTTTTAACCTCCAATGTTTAGCTGAAACGCCAAACGCAACGCAGCCGCCCTAAAAGTGTCATCATTACATCGCAAATTATTTCTCAAAACTGGCAAAAACTGAGTGAGTGTGCTGCTAATTTGTAGTCGTAGAAAAAATATCGTAAAAACTCGTTCGAAAACTTCTTTGTACACTTGTTCGACAAACCAAACAAACTGTCGAACTCGTGTGCAAAAGGTCGTTTTCGAAACTCGTTGTTTAATATACTATTGTGCTTCTCTCACATAATTAAAACAGCAAAAAATATGACGGTAATCAAAATTAATAACAACCATCTATCAAAGAACGAAAACGAAATCATATTACCAAATAAACGCTGATTTTTTTATTTTTGGGACTTGGAAAAATACCAATTCAAAGATCCGTTGCTAACTTCAAAGAACAAGAAAAAAACGGTTGAAATTGTTATTTTACTTAAAATTAATTACCGCAAAGTAAATGTTTTTAAACGCCTGGAGGTAAATATTGAATAAAAATGCTTGAGGCTGTATCAGAAATAGAAGACGCAAAAGAAGGCATGGCCTGCTTTATATTTGCCGCTGCTGCTTGTTTCTCTTGGGGTAAACAGAAAGTAATTTATTATAATTAGGATATTATGAGAGAGAAATATTGCAAAAGAATGTAAAGAGAAAAATTCAAAGCGGGGTTAATGTAATAAACATGTCAAATTTAATGAAATATTCTTTTGTAGATTTATTATGAGTTTATTATTGAATCCTGGTAAACCCTATATAGAGGTATAGAAGATAGTTTCTTCAGTGAAGTCATGGTAGGCTTTGGAAAAATGTTACTTTTGACGTAATAGTATAAACGTCAAATTGTTATTAGATCAACATTTTGATAGTCTTATCAGCGTTTTTTATCTTTTGATTGCTTTGTCAAAATGCCAACAACTTCAACTATTTCAAATAATAAAGGCATTTTGAAAAAGCAATTAGAAGATAAAAAACGCTGAAAAGACTATCAAAATGTTGATCTAATAACAATTTGACGTTTATACTATTACGTCAAAAGCAACTTTTTTCCAAAGCCTACCATGACTTCACTGAATCATCGTTTCTTGTTCACTCTTATTAATATCTTAATTATTAGATATTAATACCTCTGGTATTATGGTATTCTGGTATTTCGTCGATTTTAAGATAAACTAACTGTTTCTATCTTATTTTTTTGTTAGAATGGGCATAATTAAGAGGGCTACTGATACCGTGTTGTAAAAATAAGGTAATTAAGGGCTTATTTTTTGGTATTGATTATAATTTTGCTAATATCTTCGGTTTGAAAGAAGATATCAAAATGCGGTTTTCGCTGACTTTTTAAATTTTTACTACTCTTTACTATCAGCTAAAATTACATATATTATTGCATTTAATTTTTTTGAAAAAACGCGCAATGTTTGTTAAATTGTAAGACAACGCCCCCTAGCGTCAACGTTCAAAAGCTTATTATTATTGTTTATATGGTACAATATAGAGTAAGAAACGCTCTTTTAAACGAGCCCTGGCTTGTTGGATTCCGATCATCCAGTCCAGAGTTATTAATATTTAAATAAAAACAGTTCTAACCTTCCCCCACCACTTTATTTTGGTAGATAGGGGAAAATGGCTTGAACAAGAAATATTCAAAATTTACTGAAGATTATGAAGCTATTACTTATAGTACACCTTATCTAGTCAAAATTGTGTAAAAACTCCATTTTCATATTTTTTGTTGCAGTTGCGCCCCCTAGCGGTCGTTTTAATTTGTCATAGCTCGTTTAGTTATAAATATTTTTCTCCATAAACCCTAAGGCTAATACTTTCCGAGATACAGCCGAGGGCTATTCTTAGTGGGACACCCGGTACAAGATAGCTGAAGAATATATTATTCGCTTCAGATTTGCTGAAGAATATGTCATTATTTATAATACCCTTACTATAACCTCTAGCGGCTGTTCTAGGAACTTGAAAATATATTCCAGCAATGTTTAATGGCTTCTTTAGTAATTTTTTTTCTCGGATTACTTCCTGAGATATAGACGAGATCCATTCTTATTGGGACATTCGATATATAACTAAATCTACTTTAAATTTGCTTTATTATTTTGGCTATATTTTTGTAAGTACAAAATATATGGTATAAAATAGCAATAAAATGTTTCCACACAAAAATACATGCTTTTAAAAAAGTTTTACATTTTTAAAAGCATGTATTTTTGTGTATTCTCTATGATGAAATATTAGAGTTTTGAAATTCTCTCTATTTTGCAGTTATTCAAAAAATATTTTAACAAAGAGAAAAATTCAAAATAAAAATAAAATCCACCTCAAAAACACACCATTATCATTTTGCACGTATCTGCTATTTAAAAAAAAACAAGAGAGCAACATAGAATAAAAGCAGTGAAAATACCTGGAAAATGAGTACGTATATCTCTTTTATTTAATTTTTTAAAATAATTAAATTACTACTACCTATTGTACCTAGATATTCGCTCAACATATTATTTAACAATTGTTTTAATAGATAGAACGCGGATAATCAAAACCAAATTGACGTGCTGGTACTAAATAAGCTGTGGTATTATCCATTATCATTACCTAAAAATAATTATAAATAAACTAAAACAATTAATTGTCAATAATTGCTAATTTGGTTATTACTAATATAATGAAATACTCTTTCGAAAGAACTGCTGTTTTTAGTTATTACAAATACTCTCATTAAGCGATAACAAATCTTTCAAGGTTCCTTTCTTAATATTCTTATGCAATATTTCTTATTAATACATGTTCCGGTTAAACACAATTTAAAATTGAAGTAGCGCGATGAAGAAAATTTTGTAAACAATGGAGGAACTGTAAAACAAAAAAGTTTTTAAATGTATTAATACGAGTATACTGGTACCATTGCTGCCAAGAGTCACTAACTTACTCTTTATTATTTCCGAGAAAAATGCGTCTAAAATGAATTGCATTGTATAAATATGTTATAGTTAGTAACTATTCGGTATTAAAATAAAACATAAATAGCCAGAAATCGTAGTTAATGACTTTTGCAATCGATTCTCCGCTTCAAAACATAGTTAGTGATTAAATTTGGTTGTTCGGGAAAATGTTAGTTAGTGACTTTTGGCAGCAATAGGACGATATATTGTTCATCGTCCATGTAGTAGAATACTATGATTCATTTTTGTTTAGTTCTAATATAAATTAATCATAATAGTTGTGGTTTTGTTTGTATCAATGTTAATATCAAGTTTCTCCGTCTTACTTTCAGTTTACTTCAGATAATACACTTCTATTTTTTTTTTACTAAGGATATATTTTGCAAAGTTATTATTATGTATTAATTTCATAATGAGTAACTCTGATTGTTATCAAGATAAAACTGTATTAATTTTAACCACAACTTATTTAATACCAGCTGGTCACCTTAGCTTTTTTTGGGGGTATCAGCGTTTTACCTTATGAAAACAACCAGCTCAAAAAGCTGTGATCTTAACTGAACAGTTTTTACTAAACAGCAAGTATCTCCTTTAACTTCAATATATGTACAGGGTTGTTCACCACATACGACACGGAGTATTGTAGCTAAACGATTAGATTTTTACAAATTGTAAGTTTTGGGTTTGTTGAAGGTCTATTAGAGCTACAATTTAAAAATATTTTTACAATATACAGAGTGTCCCAAATAAGTGAAAAACATTATAGTTGTATTTTTTTAAACGGAACACCCTGTATATTATTCTATTTTTGGATTCTACGATTGAAATAAAGGTAAATTTGATTGAGTTTATCACACTTAAACCTTACCGTTTTTGAATATTTCCAATTTTATGAAATTGCAGTAAAAAATTTAGGGCTTTATTTCTCCAAGGATATCAAAGTTTTTAATACTAAATATTTACTGAAGATTATTTATTGATCAGATATTGTGATGCAATAATAAAACTTTTACTACCTTATACAGAGTGTCCAAAAATTTATATTAAATAATTACTATCTTTAAACGGCAATAACTTGTTTAATTTAAATGGAACACCCTATATATTTTACGTGAATCAGATGCACAATGTAATTGTCTATCAAATTGTATTATACCATTTTTTACCCATCGGTTCAAGTTTTTGTAGAAAATGCATTTTCTTATAATTTAGACCTCATTTATCACTATACCCATGAAACACGATACTAATGATACTAAAAAGTCAAACAATTTAATTTACAAATTGCTCAAAAATCATCAAAATCGGCCCACTAGAACAAAATATACTAAACTTTAAAATACATAGTAATCAAATTTTAAGGTGTCCAGTTAGATCAAAGTTTTTCTTGATACTTCTTAAAGAAAACTCTTAAAAACTTACAGACGAATGCTCATCGCATCCCAAAATCGCATAGTAATCTTCCTTCTCGCTCTTCTTATAGTTCAGTATATCTCCCACCGTGGTAGACATCTCTCCCTCTCCCTATCTCAGCCTCCCCTTACGATTCAAAACAACGAAAAACCGCGGCGACTCTACAGACGACCGGACAATTCAGAATCAACACCTGTTACGAGCACCGGGACGACGCGATCTGAATCCCGAAATTCGGGATTCGGTAACCTGGATGGGTTACACAACGCGCAGGTACACACAAAAAGAGGACAGATAGACAGACAGAGAGGCTGTCTGGATATACTACATGGACAAATAAACAGCGCGCGTAATTTGATTTGCGTTTAAAATGGAATTAAACTAATTCAAACTCAAAACCGACGTGATACGATAAACCAGCGAAACAGACTGGTGATTTTGTTAAAGTGAAAGTAACTGGCTTGTTGGGGAATTACGTGCAAGATGCCCCGTCACTGTTGGCAGTGTAGCGCGGGTTTTTTCATAATATTCTTATCGTTTGGCGGAATGGGAAACTATAGCAATGCGCAGAAGTGAAGGAGGAATCGATGAATCCCTCGCCGGAGCTCTTTGGAATGTCCTAACTCCGAGCCTTCGCGTATAAGTATGCTAATAAAGGGGTTGAATGGAAAAAGGCTGACAGATTTTCGTGCTGTCTGGAATTGGGATGGAATGTTTAGTCAGACGGCGAAGACGATTCAATAAACTTGACAATTAAATGGCTAGATTTAAAATATTTTTTTTTTATTTATTTGATAGCTACAGAGTGGTCCGAACTGTATTCCGGAAACTTCGGCAGCATATTCTGCAGATAAAAATAAGTAAAAATGTTCGTATAGATGTATGTCCAAAAATGCTTAGTTTCGGAGATACAAGGTGTAGAAGTTTCATTTTTATTTCGATTTTTTCCAAATAATTTCTGCAGTAACATCAATATTTGGATTAAAATTGGTGTTTAGGAGTTTTTTGACATGAGAAATTTGATTTTGATGTCAATATGACTCCTACTAGTAGAGAGCGAAACCTACATATTTTTAACTGATTTGAAGAGTAATAACTTTTCGTCCGTACCTGTATAAAACTACTGAGTAAAAAAATATACACTTACGACGATTTCAACGTAAAAAAGGTCTCTTGGTAAAAATCGCTACGAGTAATGGTTTTCGAGATATTTGGAATCGAAATTATCAATACCTGTCATCACTCACATAAATTAAACACGTTGACTAAATAGTTATTGGACTGAGATCATAAATTTGAAATCTTTTTGTACCAAAACTTCAACAAAAACTGTTTTATCATCATTTTTTGCAGAAAAAATATGATTAATTTAAAAAAAATAAAAATTTCCCAAATTTATTATTTCAGTGATTCTACTCGACGTGTTTTTTTTTCGTCAATAATGGCATGTATTGACTATTTCCATTATAAATATCTTAAGAACGGTTGCTCGTAGCGATTTTTACAAAGAGATATTTTTTACGTAAAAAATCACAGAGATGTATATTTTTTCCTCGGTAGTTTTATACAGGTACGGACAAAAAGTTATTAAGTTTCAAAATAGTTAAAACACATGTAGGTGGCGCCCTCTACCAGTAGGAGTCATATTGACATCAAAATCAAATTTCTCATGTCATAAAATTCCCAGACACCAATTTTCATCTAAATATTGACGTTACTTCAGAAATTATTTGGAAAAAATCAAAATAAAAATGAAATTTCTACACCCTGTATTTCCGAAACATTTTAGGACATACATTTATACGAATTTTCTTACCTATTTTTATCTGCAGAATATGTTGCCGAAGTTTCCAGAATACTATTCGGACCACCCTGTATATCGTAAAGCACACATTAACATATTTAATTTCATTCAGGAAAATAAGGTTTTACAGTAATAAGCCCGCCAATATTTTTACCGGTCTCAGGCTTGATTTTCATGCATCCGTTATCCGTTGATACGATGGTCCAACGCACAGTGATGCAGAAGTTCCCAATAGCGGCAAAAATTCAAAATATCGGAAGTATTTTTTTAATAATTATAATTTTATTCGTATACTTTCCAATAGTCCATATTTTCAGAATCGTGAAGATTTTTGAATAAAAACGGGCCCATTATTAATCCCCGATAAGAAATGTTCGAGCTTAATTATAAGATTATTAGCTGAGTTCTAGTTTTGACTTCCCTGGTACCAAGACCTTGATATAATTAAGAACTGCTTAATCTAAAATCACATTTTAGGTAAGCTAATACAAAATGCTCCAAATTGCTCCAAAAAAATATGATGTACAATTATTAGCCTTTTACCCTTTAGGTTGCCTAACTCTCCGGAAAACCATGATTTAGTTTCCCAAAATAAATTACGTATGACAGTACTGGGTATTTCTAAGGTGCTGTAGAATATTATTGTTGGTTATTTTTAATTAGTTTTAGAAAGGAAACTGTAATATATTTTCACTTATTCAATTTAATTTTCGATATACAAGGTATTCAAATTTAAAAATATTTTTTTAATGTGTAATTTTAACTAGCTTTTCCTAGTTATGCCTAAGTTTTTATTCGTTTTGTGCTTATATGACATTACATTTAATATTATTAGAAATCTCATTAATTTTAAATAATTATTGTTAATACAAACTACAAAAATGTGTCAACAACTTTTATCAAGAATGTCATGCCCCTTCTACTAAGTTTCTCGGATATAGTATGAGATCACCAAGACTCCTTCTTTCAAGTAAAATAGAACAGCATCCTGAGGCTCTAAAAGTTCTTATAGATTAAATTATTTTATTTTTTTATACATTTGCTAAATTCATCTTAAATATATTAACCATCTTATCTAGAAGCTTTAGGATAATTTTTAGTTTCTTTTTCTTGCGTGATTTTAAAAATATCAAGCGTGATTTAATTATGCTAGTAATAGCGTTTTTGGTCTTTCTAATGATTACCTACTTATTTTGGGAAAACAATATTGTTTACTGTTAATTAATTTACATGGTTATATTAGTTTGTCCCGATTAAAGCACTTTAAATTTGTATTTCTTAGAGAACATTTGTTGTTTTCTCATAATAATATTTAGTGTATAACCTTGATTGCTGTATATTTCTTGTTAATTTATTATTACTATTAGTAATTGTATTATTTTAAACAATATTTAGCAAACGATCTAGCTATTAAAGGAGCAAATACTCTACTAACTGAGCCAGAACCAAAAACCTAGAAGACTCGAACCTTAACCTGGAATTAGAATCCTCCTAACCTCACAAAATTTCTCAGAACTTACGACTTAGATTTTCCTTGATTTAAGTAAGAACAATCTTCGGATTATCACGTGGTTTTTGGACACTGTCTCCTCAATGAACACCCCTGTAGATCGAAACTAAGAAACAATGGTTCGCCATTGTGTGGGAAAGCAGCTTCTGTGGGAAAAGACCAGTAGTTACATATGGCATAGAAATACGAGAGGAAACGAGCAAAACCAAAAGTATGTTAAGAGTCGCTGAAATGAGGAACCTAGGAACCATAATGGAGAAGACTAGAAGGGACAGAATTAGAAACACAAATATCAGACAACAATGTTGAATACAGGACGTAGTGAGATGGGGTAGGTAAAGAAAAAGACAATGGTTCGCACAGGTAAAACGCATGGAAGAAAACAGACTACTACGCGTAGCTCTTGAAGGGAAGCTAATGGGTAAGAGACAGCCGGGAAGACCTCCAAAAAGATGGGAAGGCAGTTGGCAGTCCATCTCCTAAGAACTCCTATAGAGGCAACCTTAAAACTAACAGATCGACTAGTTCTCAAATAAGTAGAAGAAGAAGAAGGTACTGGCTTTTGTCAAAGCTTTGGGCCTGTATGATGAGTTATAGAATTAACTTAGATGGGTCAAAGTTAATGGAGAGTGGATTAATAATATCCGCTATGCCGACGATACGGTCTTAATTGCAGACAATATACACGACCCACAACAACTGGTCAACAAGGTAGGAGAACAGAGCAAAGCAATGGGTTTAAACATCAACATCAAGAAAACCAAATTTATGATTATATCCAGAAACCCAGATGTGTTTATAAACTCCATCCTAACATTTAACTCAAGGCCCATAGAAAGAGTAGATAAATTTAAGTACTTGGGCATCTGGCTCTCCGAAGATTGGACATCAGACAAGGAAATTAAATGTCGCATCGAACAAGCTCGGCAGGCATTCTTGAGATTTCGAAAAGTACTTGTCTGTTCTGATTTTGACCTTAGCCTTAGATTAAGATTCGTAAAGTGTTATGTGTGGTCGGTGCTCTTTTATGGTATGGAAGGTTAGACATTTAAAGCAGCTACCATCAACAAATTGGAGGTTTTTGAGATGTGGCTATATCGCAGAATCCTGGAGATACCTTGGACGGCTAGATTGACAAATGAGGAAGTTCTCAGACGTGTTGACAAAGAGCTTGAATTATTTGAATTGATTAAAAAGAAAAAACCGCATACCATAATATCAATTCTTGCATTTGTTGATCGAAGGCAAGATCGAAGGCCGGAGGGGTATCGGAAGGAAGAAAATGTCTTGGCTGAGGAATATTAGACAGTGGACAGGGCTACTCGATGTTCAGTCGTTAATACACACCGCCCGGAACAGAGAAGCAATGAAAAATGTTATCGCAAACATCCATTAATGGATCTGCACTAGAAGAAGAAGAAGATGAGTTATAACTCAAGAAAAGGGGACACAATCGATCTATAAGGTTTTGGTGATTAACTTCACCTCCTCCCATTCAATCTACATTAAATCAATCCCAAACCCCCTCAAATCATAGTAACTGAAAATTTATTTGCAAATTTTGAAAAAGATAGACTTCATACAAACATTGCAAGTTAATAAAAGCGTGTAAAACTCAAACCAAAACCCATCTAAAATAAAGTTAATAAAATATAATCTAAGTTTCGTTCGTAAAGAAATATTTCCTTTAAACTGGAATTAGTTCAGACTAAATATTTATTTTACTTTTCAACGTTAGCCTCCAAACTTTTACCTTTTACTTTATTACTTATTTTCGCCAATTAATTTTATAATGGAAAAGTTCCCATTTCGAACTGGACCAAGGTTTTCCAGATTTTCAGTTTGTTTTTCTAAAATTTTTCCATAATATTCTCTTATTAAATTTAATAAATCGTTTATAAGAAATCTAAGAAAATATGATACTAGAATGCCATGCCAGATTATTGGCCTACACCTAAGGCAACATTGTACGGCATTTTATTAAATATTTTGCATAGAGATATCTGGAATATTTTATAGGCGCGTACGAAATACAGCACGCGTCTCAAAACCAGATGTTAGCAACTCATAACATAACAGGGACGGACTTGGAAACAGAAGGTTAAAAATAAAAATTAATTATCGTGTAGTCGTTGCCTGAATATTTCATGAATTCTCTCATATTATAACAAATAATATAATCGTTTTTATCTTCTACA